ATACACCCTACATATAAACCTGGAAAGCTATTGTAGCAGCAATGTTATCTGCTTTATCTGCTTGCTCAGGTACAGGACACGAGAAAACTGAAGTGTGATCCCTAGGATTTAAATCACAGAATCACAGAATGGCCAGGGTTGGAAGGGACCTCAAGGATGATGAATCTCCAACCCCCTGCCACATGCAGGGCCACCAACCTCCACATTTAATACCAGACCAGGCTGCCCCGGGCCCCATCCAATCTGCCCTTGAACACCTCCAGGGACGGGGCATCCACAGCCTCTCTGGGCAGCTGTTCCAGCACCTCACCACTCTCTCTGTAAAGAATTTCTCCCTGACATCCAACCTAAATCTCCCCTCCCTCAACTTAAAACCATTTCCCCTCGTCCTACACATATCAACCCTTTCAAAGAGTTGATTCCCCTCCTGTCTGTAGGCTCCCTTTAGGTACTGAAAGGCTGCCATGAGGTCACCCCACAGCCTTCTTTTCTCCATGCTGAACAAGCCCAGCTCCCTCAGCCTGTCCTCATAGGGGAGGTGCTCCAGTCCCCTGATCATCTTCGTGGCTCTCCTCTGGATCCTCTCCAACAGCTCCCTGTCTTTCTTGTACTGGGGGCTCCACACTTGGACACAGTACTCCAGATGGGGCCTCACAAGAGCAGAGTAGAGGGGGACAATCACCTCTGTGTCCCTGCTGACCCCTCTTCTGATGAAGCCCAGGATACCATTTGCTTTCCGAGCTGCAAGAGCACACTGCTGGCTCATGTTCAGTTTTTCATCCATCAGGATGATTACACTGCCAAAGTGTTTTGTTTGACACTGCCCGTAACTTTCAGCAGCTTTAACAATTTCACCTTAAACACATCAATGCAAATGGGATGTTTGACAGCTGGTTTCTAGCTGTTTTCTTTGGCCACTGGACAGGGGAGAGCAGCTCTGCAGGACTTCCAGCCCACTTTTTTCAGTGCAGTGTGTGGGCAGATAGCTCTGCAGGCCCATGGGCAGTGTTACTTTCTGGAGAGGGATGGATCAGAGCTCCGGGCAGATCGAAGCATAGCACAGCTGATAAATGAAAGGGAGGCTTTGGCAGAGCTCCTGGGCTGTGAGCGTCCTGTCTGGAGCCATCAACTGCATCCTGCCAGGTCAGGCATGGTGTGCAGGTGACAGTGCTAATTGTGGGCCTCACTCAGGGATACAGGAGGATGGCCACCCTTCTCTTAGGAGTCCACAAACGGCCATTCAGCATTTATCCTTTGCTGTTATACCTTGCTAGAAGGCTGGTTTGCATCAGAATGCACCCAGTAGGTGGGTGGAGATTTTAACACCATGCAAAATAAGGGCTTTATTTAAAGGAAATAGTTGCACATATCTAACGAAACAAGTGGTAGCAGTGTTATTTTTGTATGTGTGTGACTAACAAATGCTATCTTGGGCCAAAGCTGTGGGCTCTGCTGTTACAGTGGTGTTTTCGGGAGGCTCTTCTATGCAACATGTGACGTGGGTGAGATCCAAGCTGGAGCTGTGCAAATGCAGGCATAGAACTGAATGTTGGACCATTGCTGCAGGCAACCCTGTGGTAGGGAAAGGACAACTGGAAATTGCCCCATTTTGATCAAACATAAAACTGGTGCTATTTAGAGTTGTTACGGTCTCACAAATAGATGCTGAATATGAGTAAAGATACTCAGTGATCCTTATGGGTTCCTTCCAGCTGGGAATACTCTGTGATTCTTTGATAAAACTGTACTAGGGCAATCAACAGAAAATACAGGACAAAGCCTTCTGTTGGCCAGTGATACAATAACTAATCCAGAATTTTCCCTTCTTCTTTATTTTCCTGTCTAGAACTCTTTTATTAATCTAATGGGAAAAAAAAAGAAGAGCTATTTAGTTTGCCGACATGAAAATACCACACTTGATTACGCATTTCATTGTCTGATGAAAGCAACATTAGCATTAGAGATAATTATGTGCCATAACAGTTCATCTCATTATCAGCAGCAGCTGAGTTTGCAGGCAGCTTCAAAGACTCTTTTTTCTCAGAAATCCTCATCTGTACTGAATTTTTCAGCCTTGTTACAGAGAAGTCTAGAAACGGTGGCTGCTTTTTAATGCTATATTGTCTAACATGGGATATAAGCTGTGTCTTGTCTCCTCGATCCCTTTCTTCTCTAGTAGACCAGCACAGTGACTGCATGCACACATACCCGTATATTTACATCTATTCCATCTGTTTAGATGGCAGTTCAATAGTAATCTGTTAACACAGAGTTCTGTTACTCCTGAAGTGATTTTCTCCTGGGGGTGTGTTGGAGATTTTCCATCTTTAATGTCACAGACTTTTATAAAATTCTTTATAGGGTTTTGGATCAGGCTGGATGTGGCTCTGGGCAGCCTGGGCTGGTGGTTGGTGACCCTGCACATAGCAGGGGTCTGAAACGAGATGAGCATTGTGGTCCTTTTCAACCCAGGCCATTCTGTGATTCCATGATTCTTTGATTCTATGATTCAGACATTGAGCTTTTGTTTTAATTATCATAAAATTACAGTTGTTTCCTTCAACCTCGGCAGTACAGAAACGTGAATAAAATAGGTACCACAATAACGCTACGAGGTGAGCTTTTAAATAGCAAACATTGAAAAGGCTAACACATAATTTAATCCAATACCTTCCAAAACAATGATGATTTTCTCTCCACCTCCGTGTGGAAATAGTCACAGAAAAAGTGAAGATGAAGTGTGTCAGGGTGTGCCTTGCCTTGAGTTCTTCTGTGTTAAGAGCCCAGGAGGCAGAGACTGTTCTAGGGATCAAAGTGCTCCCAGTGAAGTTTCCGGACAGACACTCATCATCTATAAAAACTCATGCCAAGTTTCCCAAGAGGAGGCTCCCCAGCACGGGCTGTTCTTATAAAATGGAAGGCATGCTGTCTGCAAGGAACTTTACTGCCTGTGCCATCACACATTTACAGTAGTGTTCATGGAATGTGAGTGATGTTACTTCCGTGGTCTCCTTTCATCCACATCTTCCTGTGTCCTCTGGCTGTCCTCTCCACTTGTATGGCAGCCTTGTCAGCTTCCCTTATGCCTGGTAATAACACTTTTGGCAAAGATTGTTAATCCTGGAAATTGTTTGTAGACTTGCTGATACATTAGCACACAGTGAATACTTTCCAGCAGTAAGAATTTAAGATCTAATGGTGTTTTTCTCCCTCTTAGTGGTTTTATATTTGCATCAATTACAGTTACCATCCACCACAAACCCCAGTCTGAGAGCTCAGGAAACATTTGTACACCCATAAAAACACAGAAGATCAGAGCATCTTCCCCAAACTATTCATCTCTATCTGCAAGCAAAAACAATCCTTTTAGTCCTTCAGCAAATGGCACATGCTCCAATCTCACTAAAATCAGCAGTGCTGAGGGCATCCCAAACACTGGGGCCACTCTCCTTGCCCCTCCCTGTGGAAACACCCATCTCCATTGCATTTGTGATAACTGCTGCTTGGTTGGCAGAGCTCTAATGAAACACATATCCTCGGTGGGCAACTGCAATTCCAAAAGACAGCTCTGTGATCAGCAGTTACTGCCCAGCTTTATCATTTACATTCCTAAAATACAAAGTATTCTCTATAAATGCTGTTTGTGAGGCAGAATGGGGACACCGAGAGGTAATGAATACCCTTTGAGGTCAATGCAAGACAGGATATAAACCTTCCCAAGGGTTCATTCAACCAGTGCTCGTGGTTCTGCAGGCATTTGATTGCAGAAGTGCTGGAGTACCAAGGGAGTTGTACTTATACCCTTTGGCCTGGGTTGTGAGTGAGGACCAGTGGAGGCTGTGTTTGCACCAGTGCAAAGCCTTGGAACAGAGGTGTGCAGAAATCTCTGGTAGAACCATGAAAGCTCACACTGAGAAGGCAAACTGAATTTGCCTTGGAGATGCCTTATCATGTTTTGAAGTTTTGTTTGGATGGCTTGGAGTTTCCTGCTTATTAGAAGCTACCTGTCTGCTCCTTTTTGATGCACTTGAGTCCCCTGTGGATTCACTGGTTATCCACACAGACCTCTGGGAGCACAAAAAGTGAACCCAACTCAGAGGCCACAGAGGTGCCCATAGCCCACTTCAAAATCTGAAGCTCTGTCCGGCTTCAGTTTTTACGCCTTTAAATCAGCTCTGATTTATGCTGGTATAAAAGAATCTTCCTTTGTTTGCTGACAAACACATAGATGTCATAGGAAACACAGATGTTGTAATGAATTTTCTAATTGGATGTGGATGCTTGTTCTTAAATGGATAATAAATACGGCTTAAATGATCTGTTTGATCACAGCTCAGAACTGCCCTAAGAACACAACCTAAAATACAGCTGGGGTAGACATGTGTGTCAAACACAAGCAGGATGCTCACCAGACAAATGATCTGCTGCTGATACTGATTCTCAGCACAAGAGGAAAATAATCTTTCCTCTCCAAGGTTGCTGAAAACAAATCTAGATTGTAGGAAAGCATTGCTAGGAGCCCTACAGAACGTGGGCTGAAGCTCACAGGATATACCCCTTGTTTCTTTTTGCCTCTCCTCCTAATTTTGTTCTAGCTGCTGGCTGAGACAGAATCATCAAAATGAAGCAAAAGTATGCGTTCAAGATCTTGAGCCATTTACCATGAGATAGAGGTAATCCTGAGATTCACAGAAGCATTAAAATAGCAACAAGAAAGTGACACCAGTGCTGAGGATTGCTTTAGAAGTAAGGAAGCAGATGGGAGGCCAATAGAACAGAGACGTAGAGCTGTCTCATCTTGCAAATACACCTCCCTGGACAATGGCTCAGACAGTTCAAGCAGCCAAACAATTCACAGAGTTTTAATCCCCTATTATAAATAAGGGTGAGATATATGCTTTTAGCCTGGGAAAGGTGATAAAAATATATATAGGTTTACTGTAAAGATGAGATTTCTGCCTGCTTCTCTTCTGATCGTTAGTAATTATTCTTTTTTACAGCCTCTGGCCTCTCCTCTTCTCCATCTACCCCAACACAAGTGACCAAGCAGTCCACGTTTCCTCTTGAATCCTATAAGCATGAGCCTGAGAGACTAGAAACACGGATTCACTGTTCTTCTCCTCCGGACATAGGGCAGAGATTTTCTTTGCCTCCATCCCAAAGTGCAGCCAAGCCTCCTATAATGACACCATCTCTCTGTGCTACCTCAAAACCAGTAAGTAGAGCTTGTGTCCACTTCTCCACCGGGAAATGTACAGTGGTGTGTGTAAAATTGTTTCTCATACTACGAGCTAGGACTGGTGCGTCCATCCTGTGGAATGGAATGAGAACAATTTCATGTGCCTTAGACCCCAGGCTTGTGTCAGCTCTCAGCGTTCAGCTGGCAAGGCATTAGGAATCCAGAGGTGGGAGCTCTTCTTGTGAGTTAACCAAATAGCAATCAGTTCTTGCATTGAGCTCAACTGAGCTTTGCAGTGGCTGCACAGTTCTGCACGCATAGCTGAGATGCCGCTTTAGAGAAGGATACAATTTTATTTAGGATTGTCTTTTATATCCCTTGAAAGGAGCAGATGAGAAGGCTAGCAGCCAAGGAGAGCAGATCAAAAAGAAATTCACAGCGTGAGCTGCAGGGTTTTGAGTTCCTGCTGCCTCAGAAGTCTGAGATCACTGGGACAACTGCAGTCTAATGGCACTGGTTGCTGTGACTCTGTCTGCCCCAGCTCACAGTACAGAAGGGTGGAACTACCTGGGTATTTAAGCAGACCCCAGGTAGTAGCAGCGTCTTTGTAGGAGTGGTTTCTTTAGCTCCTGGGAATGCAGGAACTCAGCAGTTCCAGGAAAACGTGAATTCTAACCTCTGATATTCTCCTCTGCAACATCTGCACTGCATGTCTTTGTCCTGGACTTGAGCAAGGCCTTTGACATGGTCCCCCGCCACATCCTTATCTCCAAATTGGAGGGATGTGGATTTGATGGGTGGACCACTCGATGGATAAGAAACTGGTTGAAAGGCCGCATTCAGAGGGTGGTCATCAATGGCTCTGTGTCCAGGTGGAGGCCGGAGAGACGCGTCCCCCAGGGGTCTGTCTTGGGACCGGTGCTCTTTAACATCTTTATCAGTGACATTGATGACTGAATCGAGTGCACCCTCAGCAATTTGCTGATGACACCAAGCTGAGCGGTGCGGTTGACATGGTGGAAGGAAGGGATGCCATTCAGAAGGACCTCGAGAGGCTGGAAAGGTGGGCCTGGGTGAACTTGGAGATTCATGATCCTTGAGGTCCTTTCCAGCCCTGGCCATTCTGTGATTCTGTGATTCTGTCTTCCCTCCCCTCCTCTGGATAGCCTCAGCCTCACAGTAATCACTGTTCTCTTCTGTGCTCTTCTGCCTTCTGGATACGCTAAACCAGCAGTCCCACATTTCCTCCTTTGAGTCCTGCACCTCCACAGGAATGGCTGCAGCCATTATACCGTGTGTGTGTGGGTGCTGTGACCATTTGGTCTTATAAATAATAGACATTTTCACTCATTGCTCATTATGGCTTGTTGTATCCAAAGCCAGCTTTGTTGTTCTAGACTAAGGAAGCCAGACTTTCAAAATAAACACCTTCCTATTCTGCCACTAGGCGAAAGTAAAGAATTAAAAATACTGAATAATACCAATCTTACACTCCTAGTTAGGAACTCCAGCAGTAACCTTCCTCCAGACCATTTGCTGCCTTTCCATGTAAGGAGCAGGCTTGGATGCACAAGTTATGAAATTCAGGGGCTTGCAGGACACAGGAATGTTTGTGGTAGGCTTCAGTCTGTTGGTCATATCCTTGGCGTGTGAACGTGGTTTCTGTTCAGCTGCTACCCAGGGGTCTGTTGTATCTGCTAGAACAGCGACTGAAACACAGATCTAATTTTTTATTTGTTTTTAATGATTTGCTGCTTGGGACAATAAAGAAACAGAATTCTTGGCAAGTATTTATCAGCTGTAGTGGTTCTGTGCCTGCACAAGATAGCCTGGATGGAAACTCAATATATTGTACTCAATTATCTCCTATTCAACAGATGCAGAAAAACATATATAAGACACATAGGATGTACAACACCTGACTTTCTTTGTTCTGTATACTTTGCTTTTGTACTCTTTGTTTTATATCTATCTCATTTATAAGAGTGAGTGCACAGGGTGGCAGTGAATCATTAGGTTTTCGTTTCACTAAGTTATTTCCCTTACAAATGTGACAACACCCTGAATACTGCATTTTAGACATTTCAGTTATTCTGAGTCATGGGTTAAATATTTGTTTTCCCAGTGAAGATGTCATAAACAGATCGAGGTCCATTTCTTGCTTACTTAGATAGCTCTTTCTTGGCATAACGATTCCAAAAATCTTAAAAGCATTATAAATTATAGGATGAGTGGTTTCACAGTGGACACTGTGAGATGTTCACTTTAATGACAGAGCAGCTCTCACGTTGACAATTGAAAGGAGAGGTTGACTCTTACCTACAAGGGCTCTGTCAACTCAAATCTCATTACATTGTTTAATTAGTGATGATAATGTGTGTGATCCTAAAACTATTATCAATGATTCATGACTGTGGAATACACTGCAACAGCAAAGAGGAACTCTTGGAGCCAGAGCTGGAAGTACTGCTGAAAAAAACCCAACAAATGAGCCAATGGATGAGTATAGGAATGTGTAGCACCAGGGCTTGGAACTCAGCCCATTTTTACATCCACCTGCATTTGAAGCTGATTGTGTACTTGCTTTTTATACGCTTGAGGCTGTGGCACAGAATGGTAGAATCTGCTAAAAAACAGAGAAGAATAAAGATATTTGTTTCCCAGCAGATGTAACCATCACTTTTGTGTTTTGGTAGCACTCAGTGTGTATCTTGCTGTGATTTTTAACCCTTTTATTCAGATAAGGGGAATAAAAAGCAGGAGACAGGCCCTGGCAGAGGGAGACACTGCTTCCACAAGGAGCATCTCAATGCAGTGTGTGTACCTCAGCAGATAACACCATGCTAATGGGTGCCTGCAGTAATCACTCAGGCCTGGATTTATCCTGCCTAACTTTAGAAACCTATCTGAGCTGCTTACGTTGGTTGCCTCTGTATCTCAGAGAGGATAAATGGGTTCTTCAGAGGGTTGGTCAGCACTCTGCCTCGCTCACAACTGAGGGACTCCGGGTGCTGCATTTCTGACCACGGTGTTTCTGTTGGGTGCCCAAAGCAGATGTGTGAGGCTGGGTCAGGCCATGGCAGCAGCTCTCGTGGGCGTCCAATGGCTGCGGAGGTGTTCCTGGTGGTTCAGTTAGGAGCTCAGAATGAGAAATCAGCTGATAAGAGATCAAAGCTACTCCAGAAGATTAGCGTGCCCCACATGAAATAGGGAAGGAGCGACTCGATTTTTTGCTGCACAGTTCATGACTTTGTACTTCGGCCTTGTGTTGTTTGGACTGTGTAACCTTCAGGCTGTTAAGTGGTGAATGATAACTCCCCTCTAAAGCAACATTACTAACCATGAAAGGAATGCAGAGAGGTTGCAAATTCAGTAACCAACATGTTCTCTCTGTTTCCGCTTTGCCCTGTTTTGAAGAGGAATGCAGTGTGTTGAGCTCAGTGTGCTTGCATCCTTCTCACTTTGTCCTTTCTTCTTCCACTGACATGTAAGGCACCATGAAAATAGCAGTATTCTGCCTTCTGCAAACACCTGCATTTTTGTGGTACATCATTTCCTGGCCTTCATGAGTTTCTTCTTTCTCTGCATGAGGAGTCATGGCCAGAGTAAGATGCCTGCTCCAAAATGAGCTCTTCTGTGGTGAAAACAGGAGCAGGGTTCCCTCTGCTCAGAAGGGACAAAAGCAGAACATACAAACAGCATCTTCCATCTGGGAACCACTGCTCTCTCTCTAACAAACTTCTGAGCCTAATACTTTCCCAGAGATTTCTTACAAAGAGGGCATCTCATGCAGAAGACAGTCTGACACATACACTGAGCTTGTGTCAGCACATCCTCCTCAAGCCACACGTGTAGGACACAGGAGAAACTGGAAGATACAGTTGGCATCCATTTTACACAGTCAGTGTTACTCAGCTCCAGGAACAGAAGTAGAGTCTGCAGCCAGGCCTCTCCCTTCCAGTGGCAGAAACACAGAGGTAAAGAGAAAATGGTTTCTGCAGCTACCTGCTTGTTCAGCAGCAGCATTTCCCTGTGAGGCTATTCGTGCTGTTTCTCAGCCAGAATGTAGTAAACTCAAAAACAGGGCTGTTAACTTGTTTGGCGTGAAAGACTCTTACATCACACCCTGCTGGCAGGCAGCCTGGGAACCAGGATATGTGCAGCAGGTCCTCCCATCTGGCTCTCTCCAAAAAGCCATGGCACCTATCAGAGCGCCGTGATCAGCCTGGCTGATAAAAGAGATTTAAATCTGATGAAGAGAACTGAAAATGCTCTTTGATTCTGATGTTGTCTTAAAAAAAAAAAAAAAAAAAAAAAAAGGAAAACAACAAAAACCACAGGCTGGGAGAAATGGAATCCAGTCTGCAAATGTGCAAGAACTCTTTATTTCAGCATTCGTGTGGTTTAAGGAAGTAAATGAGTGCCAAGGCATTACTCTGATTCAGCTTTGATTTATACCACAGTAAACTGATCACGGAACCCAGAGCCAGCAAGGCTGTCATTTACCAGTGAGAAAGCTCTGGCAGTGTTGCTGTGTCCAGACTAGTTCTAAGTGCTTTAATACCAGCACTCCTTCTGGGAGATGTTCTCTAATAGATCCTCTGGGCTCCAACAAGCCAGCTGGGTTGCAACATTCTCCCTAATGCAGCTGCTGCTGTCCGTGTAAAAGTGCATTTAATGTAAAAATGGAACATACTTGTCCAACTGTTGGTACGTGATTAGTTGCAAACCTAGTAAATCAACAGCTTTGTGATTATGTATCATTCAATCACTTAACAATTGCACACCATATTAATAGAAAAAATGTCCTGAGCCCACCTGATTTGTTTTATCTGCTTTGACAGAGTGTCAGGATGGCTCCACTGAGCAGACTTCACATCACTGAAAGTCCATAGTAAGATTCAGTGGGAAGTAAAACCTAAATGAGCCAGTAAACTTGCTTGGAAATGAAGAGACCCATTCTACTAATATTCTGTTCTGTCCCTTTACCTCCTCCCTATTAGTCTTATTCTTTTACCACATTTGGCATTTTTATC